GTGAGCTTATTTTATTTTTCTCATTCCAGAAGAAGGCATGAAGCTATAATAAAGATGATGTGTCCATGGTGTTTTGCACTGTGTCACCTAGCTAGGGTGTCAAAAGGATAACTGTATGCCTTCTCCCAGAGCAAGGCCTCTTTTCCCCTCACATTTTGGTCTTGCCACGTGCAAAGAGATTCTGGATTTGGTAGCCGCATTTCTTTCCTTGGTTTACCACTGCTTGTTCCTTGCATGACAGAGTTCTTCTGTAGTGTAGTGGTTAAGTGTGCGGACTCTAATCTGGGAGAACCGGGTTTGATTCCCCACTCCTCCACTTGCAGCTGCTGGATGACCTTGGGCAAGCCATAGTTCTGTCAGAGCCATTCTCTCAAGGACAATTCTGTCAGAGCTCTCTCAGCCCCACCTACCTCACAGGGTGTCTGTTGTGGGGAGGGGAAGGGAAAGGAGTTTGTAAGCCGCTCTGAGACTCCAAGTGAAGGGCGGGGTATAAATCCAATCTCTTCTTCTCCTTCTTAGTTCTTTGAGTTCTAGACAAAAAGACAACAGTTTTTATATGATGACCGTCTCCAGACTGGATTGTTCAAAAGTGAAAGCAAACAATTATCTGAAATAAAGATGTAAGGATAGTTTCAACCAGGAGCCAAGACAGGGAGAATCTTATTTCCCCCTTTTGGAACTGAAATGCAAAGTACCTGGAAAGTACAGAATGCCATACAATTACCTTTTTATCCTTCCAGGTGGTGCCATAAAGCCAAGGATACATTCTTTGCCACCTCTTTCTGGCAAAGGGAAAGCCGCTTCCGCGCAGCCTGATGGGGTAAGTGGGGAACTATGGATCGCACCCTTGGGTGCCCCCCCCACCCTCCCTGGGCCAGGAAGAATTTCTTTGTATCTTTCTCTCTGTGCTGCTCACTGGGTAGAAAATGAAAGCATCTGACGGAGGGTCAAGTCCTCAACCTCAGTATCTTATCACAGCCTTTTGAGATTGCCCTTAGAAAGGGAAGGATTCGTACATTCTCTGTGTTTCCCCCCTTTTTTCAGGGTCCGGTGACCTTTGAGGAGGTGTGTGTTCATTTCACTGCGGAGGAGTGGGCTCTGCTGGATCCGGACCAAAGGAGGCTTCACAAGGAGGTCATGGAGGAGAATCGGCAGAATGTGGCCTCTCTGGGTAAGGCTCTCCTTTCTCTTGACTGACAGATGCTGAAGGCAGAAGACATTCCTTCTAAGAAGGACCCCAGGCCTGATCTGGATGGCCCGATCTCATCGGAAGCTGAGCAGGGTGCTTAGTATTTGGGTGGGGGATTGTCAGGCCTGAACCTGCCTTGGTGCAGTAACGTAACCAAGCTTCACCTGGGTTTGGTCTCAGTAACTCCCCGAGTACCACACACAATAAAGTGCTAGAAGGCTTTACTGAAGAAATTCAAGAAAAGGTATAAAAACAAGGCATACATTTCAGTAGGAGCGAAAGGCACTGAGTAGCTACGCTTTCTTCCCGGAGGCCTAGAACAATGCAGTTGCTTCTTAAAGCAAAGCCAGTTTGGTGTAGTGGTTAAGTGCGTGGACTCTAATCTGGGAGAACCGGGTTTGAGTCCCCACTCCTCCACTTGCACTTGCTGATGTGACCTTGGGTCCGTCACAAGCTCTGGCACAGCTGTCCTTGAAAAAGAGCAGTTTCTGTCAGAGTTCTCTCAGCCCCACCCACCTCACAGGGTGTCTGTTGTGGGGAGGGGAAGGGAAAGGAGTTTGTAAGCCGCTCTGAGACTCCGAGTGAATGGCTGGGTATAAATCCAATCTCCGCCTCCTCCTCCTCCTCCTCCTCCTCCTCCTCCTCTTCCTCTTCTTCTTCCTCTTCTTCTTCTAGTTCCAGAATATGATACAACTATCTTCGTGGCAAAAGGATCAGTAGGAAGGGTAAAAACAGAAGAATGGTTCTTCTCTCTAACCATGCCCATAGACAAATGCCGGCCATGACCTCCTGGCTTCTTCACCCAATTCCTGGGCAGTATTCGTGGAAAACCTCCAGGGTGCGAGGGAGTTCCCCCTCCTGTACCAGATGCACAGCTGAACAGTGTGTTCTAATTAACAGGCCTACCGTGGGTGTCCTTGAGGAGTAATATGTGGGTGGAGGTGGCTGACACCTGCAGAGAATCAAGAGAGCAGAGAACTCGGGGGGAAGTGGCTGGAAAATGCCTCTCAGGGTCGCCACACAAAGGCAGGCAACGACAAAGCACCTCTGAATGTCTCTTGGTTTGGAAAACCCGAGGCTGTCGCCCTACGTGGGCAAATAGCCTGGTTTAAAAATCTGAATATTTCTTAGAGTTAGAACATCTAGAAGTCACCGGTCTGTTTCTTTCCTCAAACGGAGGGCTTCTGCTTGCCAACCCTGATTCCATATCCACAGTGGAAGAAGCAGGAGATCTACTTGTCCAGGACCGAAAAGACACAAAGAGATCAGCAGGTATCTGCTGACTTGTGTGGTGGGAACCTTTCTCTGGTACATGCGGTTAGGACGCCTCATGGGCTAAATTTCATCAGCTGGAGAATGGGGGAATTTCTCAAGGTACAACAAGTACCGTGCACAGATGATTATAACACACAGAGTCCTCCCTTTTGAAACGTTTATTTAACAGAGGAGGACTATTATTAAAGGTTGTACAATAGCTTTTGAGATTCTTGGAGATGATTTTTGATATTTCTGATGAAGATGATTTATTATATATGTAGAAATTATTGTAAAAATATTTTCCAAAAAATATAAAATTATTTATGATATGTTATAATCATCTGTGCACGGTACTTGTTGTATGTTGGTTTTCCTACTTACCGTGGGTCCTTGTTTGGTTTTGGGAATTTCTCAAGAAGCAAGAGCCCTAGTATGGCCAGGAAATCTTTCTCAAGTGCGAGAGAGAAGTTTTAAAAAGGGAACAAAATGCTGGCATGTTTGTACCGGTGTAGTGGTGGTGGGAAATGTTTCTACAGTGCTCGGCTTTACTAAGCATGTACATGTTGCTTCTTCACAAATTTGCTTGAGCTGTTTCAAAAATCAAACCAATACCAGAAAATCCTAAATACTGCCAAAATGATCAGTTTAAAAAGTCAGGGATACAAGAAGATGGTAAAACAGCCGCTGAGTCACCTGAGAAATTTTCCGAAACAGGTTAGAAGACCATAAAACAGCTACAATGATAGCCCTCTAAGTTAAAGCCCAGGTGGAAAGAAATCTTTTGGCCTGGCTGTATAGGAAGGTATATTCCTGGTGAGCTTTAAATGGGGGACATTCCCCAGAAGAGGAGCCGCCACTGAAAACACATTTTTTCACTTGCTCCCTGTTTCATCTCTGCAGTCAGGGCCACAGAACTAGGGATGTGCATTCAGATCTACCAAAAAAATACCTTTCCGTTAACTGCAATGCTTACTTCCCACAATTAGAAAGGATACCTTTTACACATTTATCTCTTACTTTGACATGTATTGCTTCACTGTTTTTTTGCCCCTTAATTAAATTTTAAAAAACTGTTAACCTTATAACCTTAGATTGTTATTTAGTTATGTCTTCGCATATGTTATTTATTTATTATTTGCATTTATAGCCTGTCCATCCTGCTAGCAGGCTCAGGGCGGGTAACATCATATAATAACACAATAAATACAGTTTAAAATTTTAAAGGGGTATGCAGGATACGCAAGCGGTTGATTGCATCACCAGTACTTTGCCTGTCTGTTGGAGGAGGGCTTTTACTTTTCTTGTCCCCCTTCTTAATCTTGGTTCATTGTTTTATGTTTGCTGCATTGCATTTGTTTGCTATTTGCTGATTTTCCAGAGCTGACCTTGTATTGAAATAAATACAAGAGCAGTGTGCACAGCAGACCTGGGGGGGCTGGCTTCTCTTGCAGCCCGGTTTAAGACAGACTGCAGGAGAAGCCAGCCCAGCTAGGATCGTGTGTGCCCATGGGGAGCAGATTGTTCACCAGCTCAACTTTGCACTGGCTTCTCCTGCAGCCCGGTTTAAACCAGGTTGCAGGAGAAGCCAAGCCAGCCCCAAGATCAGGCTGGCTTTTTAAAAATTGCCGCCCCCCCCACCGGGTCTATTGGACCCAAAAGAATTTGGGATCTCCTAAAAATGCTAGATCTGAATACCATACTGGTATTGGGATCCAGGATTTTCTGGAAATCCCGGATTTCCCCCCAGGTCCAATAAACTTGAACCAAAAAATACCAGTTAAAAAAAGGATTGCACACCCCTACACAGAACACGAGGATTAGGAAGTTGATTCTACCTGTGGGTGGGGTGGGGGAAAATATAGTGAGCTTTGTAAGGCTGGATCTCGGATTGGGTCTCAGTCGTGAGGGCGTAAAGCTGTGCTCCTAACCCATTGTACAGGAAGCTGTTTGTGCGATACCTTCTAGTCCAGCTTTCCGTTTCCCACAGTGGCCGCATAGAGTCCCTGGAAGGTTCGCAAGCAGAGGAGCAGATCCAAAGCATCCCTCTTCAGAGAGATACTGCCTCTGCACAAGGAGGTTTCACCGGTCCACCTTGTCTCCAATGGAATTACCCTCCAAGGAATAATCAAGAGCTCATTAATACATGGCTGGATTTGTTTCCCCATCAAGTGATTTCTGTCCTGTCACTACTAAGAGCACTTAATGGCCTTCTTGACTTGATTGTGCTTTTGCGTGAAGATCTAACCATTCTCTTCTCTTTATTCTAGAGGCTGATGGTCCCCAGAACAAGTCTGAAGGAGACCCACGACACCATGTACTTGAGAAAAAACAGTGGAAAAGAATCACTGGAACAAAATGCAAGAGGGGGAATGAATCCTTTCCTCAGGGTGGTGAATCCCAGGTGTTTGATAGAATTGACACAGGGGAGAAACCTCATAAATGGTTGGAGTGTGGAAGGAGCTCTGCTCAGAATTGCATCCTTGCTGTTGATCAGCAAATCCACACAGAGGAGAAATCATGTAAACGCTTAGAATGTGGAAAGGGCTGTTCTCAGCATGACACCTTATTTGCTCATCGACGAATCCATACTGGGAAGAAACCTCATAAATGCTTGGAGTGTGGAAAGAGTTTTGCTCAGACGTCACACCTTAAATCACATCATCGGATCCACACAGGTGAAAAGCCATATAAATGCATGGAGTGTGGACAGTGCTTTTCTCGGAGTGACAACCTATCTGCTCATCAAAGAATCCACACTGGGGAGAAACCTTATAAATGCTTGGTGTGTGGAAATAGCTTTGCTCGGAGTTCACACCTTACTAACCATCAACAAATCCACACAGGGGAGAAACCATATAAATGTTTGGAGTGTAGAAAGAGCTTTGCTCGGAGTACAGAGCTTACCATCCATCAACGTATCCACACTGGGGAGAAACCATATAAATGCCTGGAGTGTGGAAAGAACTTTGCTCGGAGTTCACAACTTACTAACCATCAACGAATCCACACAGGGGAGAAACCATATACATGCTTTGTGTGTGGAAAGAGCTTTGCTCGGAGTTCACAACTTACTAACCATCAACGTAGCCATACTGGGGAGAAACCATTTAAATGCTTGGAGTGTGGAAAGAGCTTTTCTCGGAGTGCAAAGCTTACTATCCATCAACGTAGCCACACTGGGGAGAAACCATATAAATGCTTGGAGTGTGGAAAGAGCTTTTCTCGAAGTGACAGACTAACCGCTCATCAGCAAATCCATATGGGGGCAGGATCAAATAAACACTTGGAATGTTAACATTTTTTTGTTCAAAAGGCATATTCTAAGGTACACCTTAGAATTTACATCCTGGGAGAAACTGTATAAATGCTAAGCCTTGTTTCACATCAAAGGATTCTCACAACAGACAAACCATATAGATCTTTCCAATATTGGAAATATTTTCAGCTTCAAGCCCAACCTAACCGGGCATCATCATCTGGAGTTTTTGTGCTAAATCAGAAGTATTATAAAGCAGTTGACCTGGAATTAGTTAAGGCATATTCAATTCTCAGCTAAAATATTTGGAATTCAGTTTATTATAAAATGTGAGTTATTAGTCCTTACCCCATGAACATATCTTAGGTAAAGGTAAAGGTTCCCTTGCTCGAAAGCCAGTCGAATCCGACTCTAGGGTTGCGGTGCTCATCTCCGTTTCAAAGCCGAAGAGCCAGCGCTGTCCAAAGACATTTCCGTGGTCATGTGGCCGGCATGACTGAACACCATGACTGAACACCAAGGCGCACGGAACGCTGTGACCTTCCCACCGAAGTGGTAGCTATTTATCTACTTGCAATTTCTTGCTTTCGAACTGCTAGGTTGGCAGGAGCTGGAACTAGAGACGGGAGCTCACTCCATCATGCGGCAGTCAGGTCTTGAACTGCTGAACTACCGACCTTCCACAGCCTGCAGTTCAGCGTCTTAACCACTTGAGCTACTATGGCCCCTGTTACACGGCAGGGGAAAAGCCGCCAAAAAGCGTGGCTTTTAAAAGCCGCGCCAAAGTTGAAACAGCGCGGCGGGATCCCACGGATCCCCTGGCTGCACCGCCTTTCTCCCCGGCACGATCAGACGCCGGGGAGAAAACACAGATCGGACGGCAAGCCAGCCGAACTGCGCATGTCGGAGCATGCGCAGTTCGCCTAGGAGCCGGGGATGCGCTGGCGCAAGGATGCGCCGGCGATCAGACTCCCGGTTTGCGGCACACCATTGGGATGAACCACCTTGGTAGGTGGTTCCAACTTGAAGCGGTTTATCGCGTGGATGGGCCAGTTCGGGGACGGAAGCACTACGCTTCCCAGATGTTGTGGTGTGATCGCGGCCATTTGCTCCGCCCCCGAACCGTCCCGCTCCCGGCCCAAATCCCCTCGTGTGAACGGGACCTATGTTGTTTATGACTAGGTTCTATGCCCCTTTTGCTCTGTTTGCCATATTTAATGATAGTTTGATGACTGGATGAGTAGCTGTGCCTCCTTCCGAAAGAGCGGCAGTTACACTGGATGAACTAATAGCAAGAGTAATCATCTTTTGCGTAAAACGGCATCCCAAATTTTATTTATAAGAAACATCATACCCCAGCTTTCCCGCCACGATGGACTCGAAGCAGCTTGTGTTGTTCTCTTCTCCTCCATTTTATCCCAACAACAACTATGCTGAGAGGGAGGTTAGACTGACAATGGGCAACTGGCCCAGAGTCATCCTGCAGATTCCATTGGTAGAAGTGGCATTCGAACCTGGATCTCCTAGAGCAGTGGTGGCGAACCTATGGCACGGGTGCCAGAGGTGGCACTCAGAGCCCTCTCTGTGGGCACACCTGCCATCGCCCCAGCCAGGCCCAGACCATCATTAAAGTGTCGAATTCTCTGCCAAATAATTTTAAGTAAATGAAAGCATTTGGGATTGCTTTCCTTACTTTGTTTGGATCATCTTAAGTTAATGTAGAAATAAAGTTTCTAAAGTAGAAGAAGAAGAAGAGATTGGATTTATACCCCGCCCTTCACTACCCGAAGGAGTCTCAGAGCGGCTTACAAACTCCTTCCCCTCCCCACAACATACACCCTGTGAGGTGGGTGGGGCTGAGAGAACTCTGACACAAACTGCTCTTTTTCAAGGACAGCTGTGCCAGAGCTTGTGACTGACCCAAGGTCACATCAGCAGGTGCAAGTGGAGGAGTGGGGAATCAAACCCGGTTCTCCCAGATTAGAGTCAGCACACTTAACCACTACACCAGACTGAGTAAAACCTCAGTATTCAGGTTAAATTGCCATGTTGGCACTTTGCGATAAATAAGTGGGTTTTGGGTCGCAGTTTGGGCACTTGGTCTCTAAAAGGTTCACCATCACTGTCCTAGAGCCTAGTCAGACCCTCTGACCACTGCACTACACTGGCTCTGTTACTTCAGAGAGTTTCTCAAATCTCCTCCCTGAACGTGTTACATTTGTAACTGATACTGTCTTACTAGTTTGCTGTTCTGACAGTTACAACACACAAGCTCTAATAGGTCAGAGATAAAACACAAAAGAGTTTTGGGCTTTTTGTCTTGTTAAGCTATATTAGTAGTGACAAGGTCAAGCCTGAAGTGTTGTGGTGCTCAGCGTTTATATCTGTGTTTATGTTGTGTGCTCAGTCATGATGTTTTATAAGCGTTGCTTTGATTACTATGCAATAACAATCACAAAAATGTAATTTGGTTCTCATGCAGGGGTGTCGGAACTCATTTCTTATGAGGGCTGGATCTGGCATAAATGAGACCTTGTTGGGCCAGGCCCTGTGTGTCATAAAATTTAATGTCAGGTAGCAGAGATATAAGCTTTCTAAAGGACACAGAAAAACAGATGCCCCTCCCCATCAGGGTCAAGACGAGGTCCTTTTCGATCTCTGTAGAGAATCGGTCAAAGGGTTAAATTGAAGATGTCTCCATTCCTAGAGAGGCACTGACCAAGAAGGCCATGTGACTTTGCATGGGGATGTGCTGATGCCATTGGTGAAGGGGAGAAGGGGCAGCCCCAGCAGAGTTTTTGAAAAAATAGGTAAGTAATGAAAGACTTGTCTCCTTTGCAAAATATCTCCCTGGTTTGGACAGGGGAATCGTGCAGAGGGGGAGGTGCATTGGAGGTTTGGAAAGACGCCTGCAGCCTTTGCCACCCAGACTCCAAAGGCTGCGGTCACACGGAGCTACAGAGACAGAAGATAGGCGGATTTTCCGGGTGCAATCAAACCGCAACATCTGGGAAGTGTAGAGCTTCCGTGGCTAACCCGAGGCTTCCCGCCGAAGATGCGGAGTAAAAAAATAGTACCTCCGAGGTACTAGTTTCCGAAAACAGAGGGGCAAGGGCGGGCGTCTGATCACGTTTCCAGTGGTAGCTCATGGCATCCAGCGCCCACCCATGTCCCGTCACGAAAAGGTTTTTTTCCCCCAAGTCTCCACGGGATGCGCACAAGCACCCAACAGCGCATGCGCACACTTCGGTTTAAAAAAGGCGCAATCAAACCGCAACATCTGGGAAGCATAGAGCTTCCGTGGCTAACCCAAGGCTTCCCGCTAAAGATGCGGAGTAAAAAAATAGTACCTCCGAGGTACTAGTTTCCGAAAACCGCGGGGCAAGGGCGGGCGTCTGATCACGTTTCCAGTGGTAGCTCATGGCATCCAGCGCCCGCCCATGTCCCGTCACGAAAAGGGTTTTTTTCCAAGTCTCCAGGGGATGCGCACAAGCACCCAACAGCGCATGCGCACACTTCGGTTTTAAAAAAAGACACAACCCCCGCCTCGCGGCTTCTTTGCCGCACCACAGGATTGACGTCTGATCGGCACCTCCCCCCGAACCACGGGACGTTTGATCCGGCGGCCGCGTGGTAGTTCGCTCCGGGGCAAACAGCCACGGCCCCCCCCCCATATTCGGCCCGTGTGACCGGGCCATAGTTTAGCAAATCCTTCCTTAACGTTTTGAACACGGGGACTCTACTTTTCAAAGACTTTCCCCACTTCCTCCCTGGAAGGTCCACTTCACTGGACAGAGCCAAGTTCTCCCTGTAACAGATGCACATTCTGCTTTTTTATCTCTGCATTTTGTTGTCATTTCCCCCTTCCCCCCCCCCCCCCAAATCGGCCTGGCATTGCTGTGCTGCAGGCGTTTCCCCCAAAGCACTTGCAGATTTTTTTTTTAATTGCTATTCTGGACGAGCAAACTTGGATTTCTGGCAGGTTCCCACCCCACATAATTTAGAACAATGGCTCCCCCCCAGGCCCTGTTGACTCACCCAGAATTCAAACACACACACACACCGAGGACCAGACCGGGTGGCCATTCCCCTCCCGTGGTCCTCTCCGGCCAGAGGGATTTTGCCATCGCAGGAATTTTGTGTGTCATATTTGGAAAATAAACTGACCAACAGGCTCTCCTTGTTTGCAGACAGTGAAACAAACGATGGACAATGGACCCCCCCCCCCCCCCCTCTTTGCCGCTGGTAAACAGATGACTGCAGAGGGGCTGTGTTGGTCTATCTTTTACAAAACAAAAATTCAGTGTTGAGTAATAATGTTTATGGTGTTGGAGCTACTTCATTGTGGTCTGACTTAGCCATACATGATGTCACCTTATAAACACCCCCCCCATACACACACACACAGCCGAACAGCGTTGCTTGCATTGCAGCAGATTTGGATCAATTGATTCCACTAAGCTCCTAAAGTTGGGGGTTCTTCAGTCAAGGACAGGGCTGGAAACAAAGAGTTGGGAGGAATCCCAGAGGTCATCTAGTCGAGCCCGGGGTCAGTGAAGGAGGGGGCAGACAGTTCCCATAGGATTCTCAGGAGGGCTGCCAGCCGGGCTCTGACTAGACATGGACGTGTTTATTGCCCACGATTGCTACATCACCCTTTGCGATGTACCTTTGGAACACAACGTGGCAAGAAAAAAAGTTGCGGGCAGGGAAGAAGTGGATCCCAGACCTTGAAGCTCGACTCCCTCCCATCCCATGCACCTCCTCCCCCCACCCCAAATCAAGCCACACCCCCGGAACAAACTCTACGTCGCTCAGGCCAGTGAGCCCGGCCAGAAGACTGTCTGCATTCTCCACGAAATTCTTCGGGAACAGAAGATGGCATTTCCCCAACATATCCAGAGGGATGTCTTTGCCTCCAGTCTGACGAAGAGAGCTGTGTTCCTCGAAAGCTTATGCTGCTATAAAGTG